GTGAAGGGTGAAAAAAATAGGTGAAAGAATTAAGCAAAACAACAAAACTTCATAGACAAACAGCAGTATGGTGATCACCGTATGGAAAGGGAGGTGAGGAGAGGTAGAAGAGGGTAGAGGGAAGATAAATGGTGATGGAAGGAAACTTGACTGGGTGGTAAATACATAAAATAATTGCAGATGATGTATTATAGAATTGATTGAACACCTGAAACCTATATAATTTTATTAACCAATGCACCCCAATACATTAAATAAAATAAGTACATAAAAAGGTGTGATTAAACTACTGCATATCCCATTCCTTGTTCCCAGTACATATACATTCTACCGATTGCTATCTCATTTTAGCTTGATCCTGCAAATAAGGTCACTAGGCTCTTTCTAGCCATGGTCACCTTTGCTGGTTGATTGTAGTATCAGCAAAGAGCAGTAGGGTTAGTAGTGGGAGTGGTCATAATAGCTGTTGTGGAGCTCTCATGACAGGTCTTGTGTTGGCTTAAGTATTTTATATGCATCAATTCAGTTAGTGTGCTTCTCCCAATCCTAGTGGGAGATTTTATTACCCCTTTTTTATAGATAATTAAGCTGAGGTGCAATGGGATTAAGTGACTGAAATAACTGAACCTTTTACATCACTGTCAATGTCTATAATTTGGATTAAATAATGTTAAATCAACTCAATATGAGATAAGTGGGACAGAGGTCTCTGAGGAAAGGTGGACTTTTCGGCATCTCCGAGACAGGGCAGGTACTCAAGCAGCTTTCGTTTGGATGGGTTAGTGCTCGTGCTGTACCTGTTGTAAGTATCTGGAATATCACTTATGCATGGGGCCTACTAAGGAAAGCACTTTGTGTTTTGATGTGCAGGGAAACCCTTCAAGTCATGCCTTTAAGAGCTACCTCTTACATGAATGCTAATTGGGTACAAGATGATCAAGGGCTTTGGCAGTAAACACAATGGCTGATATCTAGACCCTTGTTAGTGGACAAAAAGTAACATGTGGCATGATTCAATACCCTTGTTAGTGTCTTGATATTCAGGGCTCCCCTTTCTAAGGTGAGTCAGTTGAGACACATAAGACTTTTGGTTCTAATTCTGAGGGGACAGTTCTAATTCAGGGGAAGCAAGATGGCATTAATGAGCGTTAGCTCACCACATAATGATCTGAATGATTTTCATGGTTGCATCGGTCAGAGCATTGAAGAAATCCACCAGAACCTGTCCCTTTTCTCCCATTTTTCCAATGACAAGTCCAAAGACAAGGCAAAAGACAATCAAGCCGAGGACATTGATGCCATCTGAATACATGCCTACGACTTTGTATTCCTTTGTTTCATTCTGTGAATCAAAACCAAGAAAATATATTGATGCATGGTTATAATCTTGTTAGACTGCATAGGCATTGAAATGAGAAGATACAATAGGCAAACATAATAAACCAGTGATCTACCAGTCAGAGTCAACAATACTTTGGGAAATATAACTAAAAATACAAAAAAGAGAACCCATCTATGTATATATCACATTTTTTACTGCCCCCACCTTTAGCCATTGAAGTTTAAAGTATTTTTTCTGCTCTATCTCTCAACAAATCCATATGTGAATATTTCTTTTGAAGATTTCTTATTATGGGATGTTTTACATTTTTTATTTCATTTTTAAGTATTATATATGTCTCCTTTCCCCCCATTGTTTTACATTTTTTGTAAGAACTTCAGAATCAAGGTACTTGCAGGGTTATTTTAACTACTCACTATATTTGGAGGCTATATAAAAAGAATAGGAACTAGTAATGCAGGAAACAGAAAATATTGACCAGTGTGGACATTTTTAGGGCATTTTATTGGTTTATCCTGATAATGAAGCATGAGAACATTCTTGCCCTGGCTGGTGTGGCTCAGTTCGTTAAGCATCGTCCCATGCACCAAAACGTCACTGGTTCAATTCCTGCTCAGGGCACATGCCCAGGTTATGGGCTGGATCCCCAGTAGGGGGATGCAGGAGGCAGCCAATAGATATTTCTCTCACATAGATGTTTTTCTCTCCCTCTCTCGTTCTCTCTAACATAAATAAAAACATATTTAAATAAAGAACATTCTTTACTGCCTCTAATTTTGAATGACCAATAGGATTTTGGAGATATAAAAGTTAACCAGCCCGACCAGCATGGCTCAGTGGTTGAGCATCAACCTATGAACCAGGTGGTCATGGTTTGATTCCCAGTCAGTGCACATGCCTGGATATATATATATTTTAAAAGTTAACCAGGTTCCTACTATTAGGAACCATTTGTTTGCTTTATCCTGTGTAAGAATAGCATGAGATTTACTGAGAGATTTCATAAGGACATAACATAAATTGACAAGCCCCTGGGGCACCAATTATTTCTCAATTATGATGTGATTTAATCAAACACATTTACCAAGCAGCTGGAGTGTGCCAACTGCAGTGGCTACAACATAAGGTCATCAGTAAAAGGGGAAAGATTTATTCGTTTTGAAAAGAAACAGTAAGATGGTGTGTAATTAACTGCACAGCCAAGCTATGAGTTATAGGCATCCTATGGAACCTGGGGACATGGATGAGGGCTGTGAGGTTACCATTAAGAAATGGTAAGCCAAGGCAAAAGTCATCCTGTATCCTGCTTGGAGAATTCCTACCCATGTTTTATGGCTCTCCAACGAATTTAAGCCATCCTGTTGAATGCCCCGGAGTACCCTGTTCTTCCCTGTTGTAATATTCATCGCTCTTCATACGAGGGCAGATGCCACATCTGTCTTTTCACTATTGCAATCCAATGTTTGGCAGGGCCTGGCTCAGGGAGGGTGATCAGAAAATGCTTGTGGAACCACATCAAAGGCAGGAATAAGGAGTAATGACGGAGGCTGATCAGGATAGGATAGAAGGGGCCCACTGGGAACTGAGCCCAGAAACTAGGGAGGAGCTGGGGGCGCTGGACCTGTCAGAAGGGTTAACTGGGGAGTAAAGGCTTTCTGCAGGTGGAAGCAGGGAGCCAATGGTGGCCTAGTTAATCTGAATTCTTAAGTCTACTGAACATTTATCTTTTCCTTAAATTTTCCCTTCCTGTGTGAAGGCAGAGAACATTCAGGAAAAAACCTACTACAGGACTAAAAAATGTATTACTTCAGGCCCATACATTTTAAGCCTTCAATAGGGAAATCCCTAAAGCTCTCAAAGCCCATTGATTTTAACTATGAGTTCATAGCAAACTCTAGGTGGCAAAACCTAACCCGAACTGAAACGAGGCCATGTATGGTCTATTTCTTGTAATTTGGCAGAATATTCATAAATTTGATGCAAGACTATGGATGTGCTTGATTCTAGAGCAGTGGTTCTCAACCTTGGCTGCACATTAGAATCACCTGGGAATCTTTTTGAAATCCTGAAATTCTGTTTCCATGTTACTAATGTTGTGGCCCCACCCCATAACAAAGAAGCAGAATTTTTGGAGGTGAGGCCCAGAAATCAGGATTTTAAAAAAGATTCCCAGGTGATGCTAATGTGCAGCCAAAGTTGAGAACCACTGTTCTAGAGTGTTGTTGCCAGTCCTACTTCAGGGAAGTGTTTTAACATGTACACTCACCACCTGGCCCATCTAACGTGGAAAACCATGGATCTGCATCACATCTGGGCAGAAAGTTTCAAGAAAGAAATTGTGGGCCTGCATTCTGCATTTACATCGTCGTGCAAACCGAGAGCAGTTCCCAGAGGTGCGCACCTCAGCTCTACGGAGTGGCAGAGATACAGAGGCAACAGGGCTCTCTCTCCTCCATTGGTTCAATGGCTGCTCATTATTCTTGGTAGTTAGGTTCTATGAAGTGGTCACCAACACTGAATTAGCGAATACTAATGCATTGTTTCTAGGGAAAATGTATGAGTAAGTTCTTGGGAATCAATGTTCACACCATTTTCATCAAATCATCCACATATGACCTACTTTATACATGTTTCTGTTCAGAGACGACCTTATTTCTATATATACTGTTGATTCATTAACACTGAATTCACAACCCACACACTAGAACTCATGCCTGAATGAAGTGTATCTAACATACTGTATTCTCTGGAAGGCACACTGGAGCCCTCTTTATTTAGGAACCATAGACAGCACTTCAGCACTATGGTTGGGGGATATTTTAAACAGTGAAATTACCATGAAAAGTACAAAACTGAAAATGTGGCATAAGCGCACCACGAAAAGACACGTGTTAATAGCATGAGAGCTGAAACAAGAAGGCAGAGCAGAGCTGTGTTCAGCCTCTGCTGGGAACACATGTGCATTGGGCAACTTAAATTTTTCACCGCTCCATGCACGTCTGCGAATGACACGAAAACGCCTGAGTGTTGGTTTTGAGGTTGCAAATACATTTTAGCAAGTAGGTGAATTCATAAAGTGTGGAATGCATGAATAATGAGGATGGACTGTACTTCCATCTCCTTCTCACTCACATCTCAGGCCCCGTCTACTGGGGAGGGGGCGTGGGCAACAAGGAAGGAAGCAGTACCTTGGCAACAGCAGTTGTCATGACGGCTGTGACAGATGCTCCCGTCATATTCATCCCTGGCTCACTGGGAGGACTCACTTCTTTCCGCGTGGTTTTATACTGCACGTTAGAAGAAGAAAACCCAAGAAACAAATGAAGCAAGTTTTTTAAGCACCTGAGGCTAACTCACAGGAATACAGTTACTTTGGCAAACAAATACCACTGAAAGGTTCTACCTCTGATGCCTCTGTTGGCTCCAGGTGTTGACAGAACCTCTTATGAGGCTTTGGAACCAAAAGTGGAATTGAGAAATCCAACCCTCTGATGCCCACAGCCACCATTCAATGATGTCAAAGTGTTCTCTCACTTTTATAAGAAAGGACAAATTAATGGAGCAACAAAGTGAACGAAATTATCGGTGTTCTTTGTAGGTGCTTTGACAGACTCAGGAATCCTGTGCATCATTTTTTATTCTATTTATTATAACCTGGGAGAAACCTCACCACTTTGATAAATGTAGTCACTATGACTTTAATAAACATCAACTACTATATGATTGTTCCAAAATCAACGTTGTTTTAGGGCTATTCCATGAGATTTCTGTTGACTCCTCCTTCAGCCCCGTCTGGTTCTGTGGAGCTTCAGCAGAGAGGCTGAAGAAAGAGCTAGTATACCCTCACACCAGGCCACGCCTACAGGCTCTGCCAACACCGAGAACCTCACAAGCGACCACTGTGGCTGAAGCGCAAAGGCACCCCTGAAATAGAGGTGGTTCTGTGTGGTTGGAGCTCGGCAGCGAGCAGTTTAATTGCCGCTCCTGCTGGTATACACAGAGGTCTCTGTGCATATAATTTATGTAAATCAATTCAGCACTTTGCGATAGACTCAGCTGTCTAAGTGCATAGACAAACGAGAGAAAAAGACATGAAGAAAATGGAGTGGACAGATTTTTAAACTTTCCTAGAGAAAAAAATATCATGGCGTTGTTATATTGTGCCTTAGAGTGTCAGCAATGGGGAGGGAATGATTAAGGAAAAGACCAAATACCAGGAACACCAGCCACCTTGTGGGTCAGACACTGATCTGCCCACAGGAGTGAAAGAGGAGATGGAGGCTACTTTTTCCACTGCATGGCATCTCCCCACAGTCTAAATCTATTCACAAATATAGTACAATGTGGTTCTACAAAAATGGGTATGAGAAGCCATGTTCTAAAACATTCATTGGCAGGGTAGAGGGGGTCAATGAGGAAAAAAAGGGACATCTATAATACTTTCAACAATAAAGAGAAAATTTTAAAAAAGAAAACAAAACATTCATTGTTTGACATTTTTTTCTGATTCGCTCCGTTTGAGCCCCTTTTGGGGGGCGGGGGGGAGTGGAGAACATAAAGGAAATGGGAGCGGAATAAGCTACAATAGGCACTTACGTCACTGTGACCAAAAGACCAGGGATACAGTACAGAGGAGGCACCTGAAATTCCTCCATTCCCAGGTACATGTCCTGCCATTTTTGATGGGCTAATTCCATTTGTTGGGTTATGGCAGGAAAAAAGAATTGATTGGTAGTGGGAAGAGGGGAGTGATGTGGGCAAAAGTCAATATTATTACCTGCTGAAAACAGGCTTGGACAAGGTTCTCAGGGAACATATTCCTGTTGGAGACATGAAAAGCAGTATTAAGGTAAGGCAGAAGTGTTTTGTTTTGTTTGTCATACCCAGTACATGGGTGGAAATGAGTGTAACATAGAATCAGTCCTCTGGTTTCTCTTCTGGCTTCTTTACATAATACTTCCTTGTAGTGAGATTTATTCTTCCCTGCTAAGCTTCAACCAAGAATAGGAAGCTCCACTAACCAAATGTTCCTTAACTGACTCACTGAGGAGCCGATACACATGCTGTCCTGGGGGAAACACCACACTGGCAGGTGGACACTCGCAGTTAAGAGACGACTTTAATATTCTGCACATTTCTGTTTTCATCCATGAGAATGTATGCTTACCAAGAGTCCACTGCATTTCTTCCCAAATTCTTGATGCCAACTGCAAATATCATTGTCGTTACTGAATTAAAAATTATGTAAATCAAGGAAATACGAGTGTGAGAAGGAAGGTATGATTTCTATAAAAACTAAGCCGAGTGCCTGGAAACTCAATCAAGCCAAGTGACTAAAACTTCTGCAGATAAATTAGGTATGGGAAGGCAACTAGAATAAAAAGGGAAACTGGAAGGATTCAGCACTCTGCTTTCTTTGCAAGTCTAAGGGTTTTTGTTGCTCCACTTCATAGAAACTGAATCTGGAAATTCTAGACGATGCATTTCTGTTGCACCCTGCAGCGTATGCAACAGAAATGGTAGGAAATTACAATCAACTGACACACTCGAAGAAAAGACCTGACCCTATGTAAAAAATTGGCAAATAAACCCGTTTAAGTTTTAACTATATACAAAATATGTACTGCATATATATCATTTTTGATGATTCTCTTCTTTAATTGCTATTTATTAACTAACCAATTTCTAGCCCTAACCGCTTCAGATTAAGAGGGTTTTTTCCTGTACAATTAAAAAATGTATTTCTTCAAATGTGCTTCAGACTGACTACCCAGCATCCTACTGCAACAAGCATACTTTCTGCATCTCTGTCCATCCTAAGTCCTGCCAGAGGAGCTCATTCCTTCCATGCCCTTTTGGAGCCATGACTCCGCAAGCAGCACTGGCTACGTAATTTGCAGGGTCCAGGGAAACATGAAAATGCACAATAATTTAAAAATTATTAAAATTTCAAGATGGCAATAGCAGATCATTATAGTAAGCCTGGGGCCCTGTGTGACCACACAGGTCAAATGCCAATGAAGCCATCCTGCTGGCAAGACACTCACCTGATCAAGTCTAACATGGCATCGACAGTACTGACTTCAGGGCTGCTGCCTCTCCTGTCAATTTCACCCACTTTCTGGCTGACACCAGGCTTGATGGTCACCACCAGCACGATACCTGTGGCCAAGGAGAGCATCCACAGAGCAGTGAGACCCTTCCAGCGCACCCAGCACCCCCAGTGCATCCTTGTTGAACCCTCTGGACATGGTGGAACCCCGGGGTCCAGCCAAAATGCTGAATCTCAGCTGCGACTTCAGCAGCAGCCTTAATTACTATTCCATTTAAATGAAGCAGAAGGAACTTTTCCCATGTCTTTATTTAAAGCGAAGGGGCTACCCCTTCTCTTCGTCCATCCCCTATCTCAAAAAAAAAAAAAAAATCAATGGCAAAAATATCCTTGGGCGAGGATTTAAAAACATAATAAAAAAAAGAGAATAAAAATGAAGGGGCTATATTCCAGAATTGCTTCTGGAAACACCTGCTGACAAGAATGTTCTTTTTTCTTTTTTTTAAAAAATTATATTTTATTGATTTTTTTACAGAGAGGAAGGGAGAGGGATAGAGAGTTAGAAATATCAATCAGCTGCCTCCTGCACACTCCCTACTGGGGATGTGCCCACAACCAAGGTACATGCCCTTGACCGAATCAAACCTTGAGTCCACAGGCTGACGCTCTCTCTATCCACGGAGCCAAACCGGTGAGGGCTATTCTTTTTTCTTTATTTTAGCTTATGAGGTAAACCTAGGCAGGGCATCCTTAAAGTATCAAGCTAGGTCATAATGGACGGACCATATTTTCTTCACAAAAGCATGCCAAAGGTACAGAGCAGCTCTATTCCCTTAGAACGTTCTCCTTCTTTCAAGTGGAATTTATACTTGGCAAGACTCAGCCATTAGCTCTCACTACTGTGTGAAGTTTGAAATGCACTCAACTGCCATCTTTCCAGAAATCTTTTGTAATTATACTCAACTCCACTACTATAGACTCATTGCTCTAAAGATTGTATAAGCTCTTGGCTCCACTTCCTTCCATCCAATGATCTTGGAGACGTATAGAGCTGCCGCCCTCTTTCTGTTCTTACTAGAGACTGTAATAAAGAATACCATAGCTGAAATTCAGTCACTATTACATTTTCTTCACATAAAAGGTGCATGTAGACTTCAAGCCAAAAAGCTTCATGGTAGTGTAACAAAACTGCTTTCTAATTTTCTAAAAAAATGCACATTATAAAAAGCCCAACCACCTTTTAAGTGAAAAGTCACAATTATACAGAGGAATAAGAATTCAGCGATAAATTTTACCTAGAATGACAGCAATGAGAGTGGTGCAGAAATAATATGCAACAGCACGCAGCCCAATTTTTCCAGATACGTTGGAATCCAATGCAGCGACACCTGAAAGGGGGGAGAAGTCAAATTACATTACTTTTAGGAAGACTGATTTACAGGACTAGTGATGAGTCAATCCTTAAGGTGTGAAACAAAGCTGAGAGCTGTCGCTGGATCTCTTGGGCATATCGCACACATTTGGACAATATGTGAAGGGTGAAAAAAGCAAAATTCCAAACACAGAATTAAGAGATGGGAGCCTACTGAGAGCTAAGTTCCCCTTCTTGGCAAGCCCTCACTGCCGCTGCCCATTGTGAGCGTCCTGCCTTGGGCTCCTCTTGGGGGGTGGTCATGAGACACAGTCAGAAGGAGTCCTCCTTCTGCATTTGGTTGCCGTGTGGGTGGGGAAAAGGTGGGAGAGGACATAAAGGGGATACATGATGATGGAAAAAATAAAATAAAAAAATTTAAATATATGAAAAAGAAGACCGTTATCAAGATTTGTGTACTATGTCACTCAACATCCTTTTGGAATTCAGTATCAAGGAAGAGTTTATTTTAAAGAACTGAGATAATTCTTTCCTCATGTAATGAAAATCAAATAACCCCTTCATCCTTTTGTTAGGAGGCTCAGAGTCAACTAAAAGATAACTTTTACATATGTGTTCATGATAATTATCTGATTAAAAAGAGAAAAATATAAAGAAAACAAAAATTACTTCAGCTCATCAGCCATAGTCAAAATTCTGGTGATTTATCTTCCAATATGTTTTCCTCAATTTTTTGTAAACATAGCTGAGATAATTTTATAGTTTTTAATCCTCTCTCTTCCTAATACTGTATTATAAACATTTTTCCTTATTATTATAAATTCACCCTGAAGAAGGCTACATAATTTGTCCTGAGGCTGTACCATAGGTATTTAATCATCCACTCACTGCTAGATCTTTAAGTAGTCTCAGGGCCAAAGTCAGTAATATATCACAGTAATTTCACTAACCATTCTGGCTAGCATATTTTTTCTTCTTTTATTGATTTTCAAATTGCTTCTATGTTAATTTTATTGTGTGTGCCTTTGATTGTGACACACCTAAAAATTCCCATTTTATTTTATTTTTAAATTGTTTTTATTGATTTTCAGAGAGAGAGATGAAGGGAAAGGGAGAGAGAGAAACATCGATGAGAGAAACATGGATGGGCTGCCTCTTGCATACCCCCTATTGGGGATCGAGCCCATAACCTGGGCATGTGCCCTGACCAGGAATCAAATTGGCAACCTCTCTCTGCAGGGGTCAATGTTCAACCAACTGAGCCATATCTACCAGGGCTAACAAAGATTCCATTTTTATAGAGGCAGGATATAAATAAAAATTTCTGAAAGCATAGGAAGATATATGGCCTCGTTGTTAGATGCAGTTTCAAATGAACTTTGACTGCCAATAAAACTCTTGAATGTTGCCTGGATTTGCACGGGTTGTCTAGAGTGCCAAGGATGGCTGCAGAGGTGGAAGGAATACACCTTTCCTTGCCAGAAGGCCTTGCCCTCCATCAGGGATGCTCATATAAATGGAGTCAATGACGCAGCTCTCTAACCAGACCTCTCCCATGTGGGACACATGAGAAACAAGCAAAACATCTTTCAGCAAGCTGTCATTTGGAGGTTTCAGACTACCCCTCTGATTTCCAAAAAGAGAATCACATTTTGATCACCAAGAAAATGATTTCTTGAGCTTGCAACATGCGTGAGTTGTGTCATACTGTTTGCAAAACCTGAAGTACAGGGCAGCAGGAAAATGAAGAGGTTGTCATGAAGCAACCCCAGAGAAAAGGTAGTAAACATGTAGGCTATCAGTACACACAGGTAGCTTTTATATTCACTCCTCACACTATAAAAGGCCTGTCTATTTTTTTTATGTGACTGGAGGATTATGCTCCTCACATATAATTGAACATATCTGATATAGGAAAAATCTCTAAGGAAGCTATCACCTCTCACTCTAAACACATCATTCCTCTGACTGTTGACTGCTCCTTTGGAAGTTAACATTTTGGGGGAAGGGGCCTTGACTTCTTTAACAGCCACCCCAGAATGTTGTTAAGGGCCCATTCTCCAACATCTGGGACAAGTTTGTGCAATTACTATACATATACATATGGTGGAATACTGCAACAGTCACATCCTGGAATAACCATGATCATCTTTTTCTTTGGGAAAAATGCAGTTTGGTGTGTTCAGAAGACTTTCTTTTCCTAATGGCAAGACAATGAAAAATAACAATTCTGCAAGAAACAACAACAAAATTAAGAGACTTAAGGCCACAATTCAGAAAAAAGTGGACTATTTCATATTTAGTTTTGGTCTCAAACAAAGAGGAAACAATAATGCAAACATATCAGTTTGTTAAGTATATAACTACAAAATGTGCCTATCCCATTTTAGAGCTCTGCATATTATTCTGATAAACAATTAAGTATTAACAATAAGCTAGGTTAAAAAGATGAACAAGAAAATCATCAAATTAACAGAACTGAGTCACCTGTATAAGTGCCGGTAGCCCTGACCTAAGAGACGATCTATTTTCAGATATATTGGCCCTTGATTGATGTCCAATTTAAGCAGCTCCCAGCCCCCAAGGTGCTGATAAGTGATAGGCTCACGGGGTGGTTGCAGAACTGTTCTTGGGTATGTGTTTCATGTCTCCTCAGGATTTCCTTCTAGCAGTGAAACAAATTAAATCTATGTGGGTAACTGTTCCCAGCATATGTTAATACTAGTATGTCTTCATTTGTCTTAATGATGAGGCGGAGGGCTGGTGCCTCTGCTTCTATTCTAGGACCCAGGCGCCAATAAAAGGCTTCGTACTAATGAGATTCTCAGTGGAAATATCTTAAACAAATACATGCCCAAAGCAGGCAGCCAGCTTCTTCACGCTGGAGTACAGCAACTATCTTGTAGTTATTTGCAGGAAGAGCTTTGTTTTCCATTCCTCAAATTTACCCTAGTCCTACAATTCTTCTGGACATATCAGAAATGTATTAAAATCAACAACCGTACTTCTCTGCCTCTCTCTGGAGTTGCCCTCTACCTCCCAGTCATCACTGACTGAGGGCAGAGCTGCCCCCAAATCCAGGCTTTTGGACAATTTATAATGTGATGTTGAGAATAGGGGCAGTGACCACTGGAGAGGGAAGGAACATAGGTAGGGAAACAGCCTAATCTTTGAAAACCTCTATAATAGGAACATTACTAAAGTTAACTTGAATATAAAATGCCTGTCTGCATGGTCTAAATGCCCCACCTGTGAAAAACAACAACGATGATGATGATAATTATACACAATGACAACAGACACTGTGTACTGAGCAATGACTCAATGTTGAGTGCATCACCTTTAATTTTCACTATAACCCTATGAGATTAGGCATCATTCCCCCCATTTTATAGAGGAGAAATCGGTGGTTCAGAAAGGCTAAGTAACATGCCGTGGTCCTATAGCTGGTGAACGATGAAGCCAGGAACCCGAATCCAAGTGTGACCCCAAATGCCATATTCTTAACCACTATGTCATACCAGCTCTACCAACAAGCTACAAAGCTCTAGACCAGGGCTGCCCAATAGAATTTCCTGCGATGATGGAAATATTCTCTTTGTGCTGTCGACTGCAGTAGTCACAAGCCACATGTGGCTAGTAAGCACCTGAAATGTGGCTAGTGTGAGTGAGGAACTGAATTTTGATTTTAATTAACCTCAATTTAAACAGCCATATGTGGGTAATGACTACCATCCTGGACAGCATAATCTCTAGACCTTCCCAGAGTGTCCAACATTTAGTGGGTGCTCAACAATGTTGAAGGAACAAACTCAAGCTTGATTCCATTACAAAGACACCCTCTCCACCTTGCCAGCACAGGGGCAGGGGAGAGGATGAAGGGAAACCATCATCTCCAGGTATGCATTTCCTTCACCACCCTGGCCACATTGCTCCAAGGCCTGAGGTTTCTTCTTCACCGGCCCCTAGTGCAATAAATAAATAAGTTGCTCTGTGGATGTTGTGTTCGAAGCCTTCCACGTGAAGAACAGCTGCGCTTTTTATGGGCGGTGTTCTTACAAAGTGAGCTCATTTCAAAGATCCACATGTGTCAGAGATTAGGAACTCGGCAGGTAGTCTCCTTAGAAACCATGTGCACAGGGCAGTTTGGCTCGGTTTCCAGGGCGACGATCCATGATAGACCTCCATTGGAGAACACATTTAGCATCTTAGTGCCTCTCTCCCATTTCTTTCATTATTGTGTGCTCCACCCCACACCCCACTCTCCTCCAGCCTTTTAGACAATTTTTTCCTTATGGCAATCCCATGAAATTTTAATACCATAGACAAAGTTTACATCTGTTTATGTACTAAATAAATACATGTATTTTTTTTTTTTTTTACATAAAAAGAGTAAGTTTCTATCCCTTAACTCCTACCCCAAACCAGCTTTTGTTGCCTTGGGGGCGATATTGCTCCTGTTGAGAACATGGAGTCTAGCTTGAGGGATACCGTTGTGTGAATAGCACCTTAATCCAGAAGGCAGTGCCTCTTCATCAGTTCCTCTGTCACACTAGTTACCTTCCAAGTGTTCACTAGCTACAAGTAGCTAGTGTCTACTGCAGTGGACAGCACAAGCAGAGATCATGTTGGGAAGTGCTGGTCTAGAATTTGTAGCAGGTGGATAGAGCCAGTACGACACAATGGTTAAGAATATGGCCCCCACCACTTACTGGGGAAGGCCAGTTCCAAACAAGTGAAACATCACCATGCTTTATCCTGGGGTTTTACTCTCAATAGTAGGGAACAGTTCTGAGGCTGGGCTGTGCTCTAGAAACAGGAAGACAATCTAAGGTTGTCCTTGGAAGTGGGGGGCACCTGCTAGCTCTTTATTTTAAGAAACCACACTTGCTTTTTCACTTTGGGAGGAGGTTCTGATGAACTGAGTTGCTGGCTCCTGGCCCAAACACTAATAATCGATTAGAACTAAACACTTGAGGGCAGAAGACTCCTCTGAGAGCTCCCTGGTGTAGCTTA